AATTTTGACAAATTAAGTAAAGTCATTTGGAACCATAATACGTAAACTATTCTAAATGTCCAAAATCTGTTTCGTACAAATCATAGAAAACAGGCTAACAAGTTCAAATAATTGTTCAAAATTGAAATTGTATTACTAAAAGTATGTTATTTTTTCACCATTTTGTTAGCATTATTCATTGTAGTGAGTGTACTAAAATATTTTTCGAGAGTGCTTTCGTTGATTTGTCCATGCGCATACGTGTGCTATGGAACACAGTCGCCACCCGTTTGTCCGCAGTCGGTTAATTAATATAATATTGAAAATTTTGGTTTTGAAAATTACTAACTAAATCCAATTGTGTGCCAGAAATCGGTCCAAAATTGAAAAGGAGTGTCATCAAACACAAAAAAACAAATTCCAAAAAACACACATCATCGTAAACATAATACAAGTGTCAAATACTCAAATACAATATTGGTTTAAGAGTTTCAATATTCAACGTTCGATTAGGTCACAATAAGTATTGTACAATCGTCCATTAACCAAAAATATTGGTCAATACAAGCTTAATATAATATACGGATTGCTCCTGATGTGTATAAATAATACTTTTGATTTCATTTCAGAACCAACCGGCAACCATACGACTCAAAATATTAATTTTAAACTATACAGTATTATATTATGCCAAAATACATATTGTAAATATACATATATGTTTTATTATAATCGTTATATTATTGCTTAAAGTACCAAACCACTTTACTTTTGCGTTAACGAGTATGATATTAAAACAAAAATACAATTATGCATAATTCAGTTAACGTATTATTTTTAACGTATTCTATTATATGATCAGACATTTAAATATACTTTAAAACTCTGTTATAGTGTAAATCTTTATCACATTGTTATACTGTAATAACGTAAATATTAAGAAAGTTTATTCAAGTATCATGTACAGTTTACTAATCTACTGACTAACTAAATAAGTTTGTGTGCAATAAAGTTTTAATCAATAAAAAAAAGAACAACCCACCAGTTTCTTATAATCTGATTTATGTGACCAACATATTTGAACATTTCTTGTCTATTTTATGATTACAGTAAAACTAAAGTATATAAAAATAAAAAAAGTTTCTGTAAACCGTCAAGATTATATAGGTTTTGAGTTGAGCCGTCTGTGTCTATATAAAACAAATTAAATTGTATTTTATAATAGTTTATACCATAAAGTGTGTGTATATATATATATAACAAAATAGTTACTGTGGGTCTGAACGTCGGTGATACGTATCGATAGAACGGTGGTTTGGTTTTCGGCAAAATTATATCGTTTTACTTCTCCGCTGGCAGTTCGGATTCTATCTCGCGCGACTACACAGGATTTCGCTACCCCAACCCAACCCAAATATATAATATGTATAACCAGCGAAGACATCAAAGGCAGCCGATATTTCAAACTATTGGAAATTATAATAATAATAATCATAATAAAAAGTAAAAACCCTCAGGGATAATCTCGAAACTAATTATTCCGAACACAAAGCGGTGCGGAGATTACGGCTAAATATTAAAAAATCTTATTAAAAAATAACGGTAGGTAGTTATAACGATAATAATAATAATAATATGAATTTCTATTGATGTAATAATATATTAGTTTAATTATCGAAGATGTGAGCACAGACACTTTCAATGCGAGAAAGCGGTCCTCACGATAAACAACACCAGCAGCTCGTAACAATAATATTACGTTTTAACATTATTTCAAAGAGATTTTAAAGAAATATTACCACAAGCTCTTCGCCACAAGCTTAGCTTACAGAAGATAGGTAATTCAAATGTATAAATTAATGTATAATTGTATATTTGTTTTTAAATAAAAAAAAAAATTACGCTTTACACCTGGAGATAACTAAATACCTATACGTGTTTTTCCTGCTATAACGCCACGCGAAGCTTTGGAAAAATTTCCGAGCGGACATATTATTGTATTATACAAGTTGATATAACTACCATGCGTAGGTAGGTACGTTATTCTCGTCACGTCGTAATGACCCGCCTAGTAAAACATAAGGTGTATGCACGTACATTTTTTTTTAGTTTAAGTAACCCTGTGCGAAAAATAGCCATTTACCCGCGTTATCCCAGCTCTTGGATATCGCGCCTATATTATACCTCGACCGCGGTCACGGTATATTATGGTTTGACCTTTACGCAGCGTGACGTGCAGGGCCCGACGATGGACCGAGTGGTCGGTAACAGACGATAATAAACCCGCTAAATGAAACCATAACAGCTCGTACCACCATCCTGTTTTAGTTGTGACCCGCTTCCGATCGATGTCCGAATCGATTAAGGGGACATCTGAGTAATATATTTTGTTTTCCTCTCTCTGTGACCCACGCGCGACGTAGGTAGATAAAAAGCGGTCACGTAAAATCACCTATTGCAAACATTTTATATTCAGATAATAATGTTTGTGGTCAGATATATTATGGGTTTTATATTTTATTTTTATTAGACGATAAGATACGTTATGTTTTTTTTTAAAGGATTTTATTTTAAAACTATGTACTCTTTCAACGATTTATTAAACAAAAAGTAGGTATTGAAAATTATGATTAAATAAGTAGTGTGTTTTAGTTCCTTCTGTACCCCCCGCAAATCCGGCGAATCCGGCTACCCCGCCCAGCCTATAGTTATATGCTATCACGACCGTGCTCGGCCGTGCCCCCTCCCCTCTCAGCCATGCCCGGCCATGCCCGGACATTCCCCCTCCCATCTTTACCTCTCACATACATACCCACCCCTCCCCCAACCTAGCTAGTTGTTTAATCATACATTAGATGAACACAGTTTGTGATAAGTTAGCGACTTATAATAATAAACATAAAATTATTAATGATTTCCCAATACCATACATCTAAGTGAAAGTGTAAATGTATAGTATATACATATCGCTACCCAATATGACATTATCAAAACACAGTTCACACATAGTTAACGAGTCGTTATTATATACATAAAACATTGTATACTTCACACTTATGGTGAAATATTTTAGTTTTCCTAAGTCCATCAACTTTGCTTTTAGAAAGTTAGTATGTACAAAATCTAATTGCTTAGCTATTATTTCAACAGTTTAAATGTATCCTAAAATAATTGAAAATATTATCTGAATTAATCTTTTAACATGGTAAATGAGTAGATAATATTTTACCAATCCATGGCTTAAAATGTTACCACTATTAAAATATATCACAAATCCATATATATATATATATATATATATATATCATATTCATACAAACACTTTATTATATTATACTTTAATATAGGTACTATAATATAACCATCACTCGAAATTTCTAAAATCGTATAAGATCATCAACTTAACGTTTAGAAAGTTAGTATATACAAAATCTAATGCTTAGCTATTATTTCAACAATTTAAATGTATCCTAAAATAATTGAAAATATTATCTGCATTAATCTTTTAACATGGTAAATGAGTAGATAATATTTTACCAATCCATGGCTTAAAATGTTACCACTACTAAAATATCCTACACCTCCCCTCCTCCCATCTATCACATGGATATCTATCCCACCTAACATCACGTATGTAACCGACCAGATCCACCCCCTCCCATCTATCATAAGTAAATCCGATGAATCTGACTACCTCGTCCAACCTATAGTTCTATGCTATCTCATACGTGCTCGACTATGCTCGACAATGCCTGGCAATACCCGTCAATACCCTACACCTCCCATACATATCCCTATGATCCTACACCATAAGTGATATATATATATTATATATTAACCTCATATAACACGTTTATCGTCAATACGATTAAGGGTTATTTTCGTGATCTTATTCGTTTTCGAACACGGTGTTCGAATGATCGGGTCGAGAGGTTTAGCCTATACAATGTGTACGGCGTTACGGTCGAAGCGGTGTTGGGGTGAATCCTAGTATATTATAATATATAATAGGTAAATATGGGTATGTTATAATATATTATTTAACTTTACTGAAGGATATTTTAATATTTGATATATATATAATAGCTGTTAACACATGGATATATCAATACATAATATAATATTTTTCACTTAGACATAATATATTATACTATTTAGCTACTAACTATGTTACTTAGTGAAATTACGATAAAATGTTTTATACTTATTATAATATAATATCAGACTTAGAATCAAAATTATTTGTGTTATACTTTAGCTATAGTATTAGATTAGTTTCTTTTAAATATATTATAATATATTATATGTAGGGATAGTATTTATGATTTTTAATAATAATAGAAATATGCGAATATTAGTCTAATAATAATTATCAATATACATAGAAGTTTATAATTACTTATAAACATAGTTACCTAAATGCTAGATATTATAAATTATATTTATTAAATCAAACTGTTGTAATAGATTCGTATAATATGTAAATTATGTGCCGTTGATATATTATTATTATTATTATTATTATTATTATTCATACATCATTTATTATTATAGAGATATCATATTATTATACATATCTTTGATATACCCACGGTTAATATAGTATAAATGTTACTTTAAATTAAATTATATACATATATAATAACTCTGTGTTATATCATAGATCGCTATTCGAATATTTTATTTTGTATTATTATAATTATTATTATTGTTAATGTCTCGCATAGCGTTCATCACCTTCGAACTATATCATAATATAATCGTTAGTTACTGATAGACTGCTATACTAACTATAAACGTATTATTGATGATTATTATAACATTTACGTTTTAATACGAATATTTATAATATGTTACTTATACTATAAACATAATAATAAAATGGAAAACATTTTTAAGTATTAATATTATATTTATTTCATATAATTATATAAATACATATACATACATACATACATACATATCAATCAAATGATTGAATATGTGCGTTATGATCTAAGCTATGATCTAAGGTTTAAGTACTACTCGAACGCGATATTAAAAGCCCTCCCCCGCCGACCCTTGTACACTAGTTTCAAATTTTTATTAGTCCGGGCATTGAATTCCAATATTTCTTCATCCTCCAGCTGTATGGACTTGGGTAGATATGTTTCTAGGCGGCCCCCTCCATCACCTTCGAGTGTGCATATGATTGCCCTCCCGTACTGCGTGTCCCGGTTAACCATCTTCGATATCGGGTATGGTTTTTCAATCGTGAGATCTCCCACGGATACGAATTGGGTGTTTGTTTGCGTAGTTAACGTATCCTTTAAAGCGTCCATTCTATAAGTTAATAATACATAATTAATATAATATGTAAAGTGTATAATAACTATAGCTAAATACATGGTATATGAGCTATGTATTAAAAATAGTTACACATGGTAATATTTAAAGAATATAACACTCACTTTAAATGTTATGGATGATGAATAATTTTTTGAATGTGTTGAATAGTCTCCTTGAAGTTCTGTTGAAATATTCCTCATCAAATGAGTGTCGGCGAAGTGAACAGTAGACGAGTGATATCAAATGCTTCGTTAACACTCGTATTTATGTGATTGAAAATACCCTACCTTGATTATCAGTCATGCAAATATACATGTCCCTGAAGGTGTATGGAGATGGTCAGCGATGCTTCGTGTCATTAAAGCACTCAACTCTCTCTCATTAAGAATGATATACTTTCCATCATTAGAACAATAACAACAACAACAACAACAACAACAATGGTCTCGTAACCTTTATCATCATAGTGTTAATAGTGTGTTATATGGACTAAATGAATAATATCGAGTAATTAATACATATGTATGTGATATATCATAAAAATGATTTCGTTAGTGAGAATCAGTTATATAGTATCGGATCAATTGTAATAGTTATGATAATAATATACTAAATAGACCCCACATTTTTAACTGTGAAAACATATTTAAATTCGAAAATTTGATTATAAAATGGTAATTCAGTTGTTGTATATTCCTCAGTATATTTCTACGTAATATAACACTTTAAGTTTAATATTTTTACTAACAGAATAGTTAATAAATATCACGTTAAGATATAAGATTTCATTTGAGGAGCTGCATATAATTTCATCCAACAGACATATCCGTATATCGAATCAATACAGACTGAGAGAAAATAGTATGTAATTTTTTAATTTAATTTTATTTCATGATAGGAAATAATTCTATTCCTATAATTAATGGTTTATATAACTACTTATATAGTTAGAAGAATTGACGGGTTCTAGTGTGCCACCACTCCAGACATTTCAACGTGTTGGAAAATCATGAATTCGTCGTCAGCTAGTCGGGAGATAAGTAACTCCATAATATATGTCAAATAAGCGGTGGGGTTATATATGTTATAAATGCTCATTCACCCACCCACGCCATCCATTCGAATATAAAAAATTTTTAGAAATATACCCATTAATCAACTATGTGACATATAAGTTTATAATAAATAATTGTTTTAAAATATAATCTATTGTTAATTAATTCATAAGTATTTAACATAATTTAGTATACAGTTTAAATTTGAGTATATAAATAATTTATTTTAATCTACATTGTCTTAGCCCCTGTAACGATTAAATTGTTTTAATTAAATGTATAATATATTATATCTCGTGTGTAAAGTAAAAAATATTTTATTTGAAATATCCCTCCTCAGTATTTATACGATATATCGGAAATAGAGGTCTAATATTGTTAAGTTAATATTATTTTATCAAATAAAAAAATAACATTGTATATTATTACTTTAGTATGAATATTCTTACTAAGTTTGAAGTGTAATATTTAGTATTTTCTATGACTTCTAATTGAAAATATTATAATAGTGAGTAGCTAATTATAGATAATTATCGTACGGTGTTATTAATTTAATATGGATATTATTCATATGTTTCATGTTTTAAAATAATTTGTTTTACCCTCTAACATAATATAACATAGTATAAAACTTAGAGAGTTAGCATTTCAATGATTTTCAGATGTTTTTGAACATATAATAATCTCTAAGGGTTAGGCATAATATGTTATATTGTAGACTGATTTCATACATAGAAAAGCCTAAAGCGGGATAGAACGTATAGGTATTTATTATTTTCATATTTATAAAGTATATCAATTTAGGATTTTACTACTGTATGTAATATATATAATTTAAAAAAAAATAATAATACTACTATATAACAATAGACATTTTTAAAATTTTTATTATTTACATTGATATAATAATATCATACACTTTGTGTATAATCATTACATTGAAAGACGATATATCGAAATATCATTTAAATTAGATTTGATCGTTTATAATATTATCAGTGGTTGTTAATTTTCCTACAGATATTAAAGGTTATAATTAAAAGTGAAACACTTTCAAATTTAGTAATATCGTATATAGTCGTTGGTGTTTGTATATAATAATATATTAAAGCGTAATAATATATATGTCTGATAATTAGATAGAATTTTACACTTAGTTAAATATTACTATCGGAAGAAGATAATCGAAGTATGATATATCAGTATAGTAGTTTGAAGTATAATTCTTAAGGTGTGAGTAATGGAGATAATAATTCACTCAGTTATAGATATAATATGACCTCCATAGTTCAGTGGTTAGAGCACTGGTTCTGTAAACTAGGGGTTGGGAGTTCGATTCTCTCTGGAGGTATAACATTTTTTTGTTAAAAAATCGTTATAGTGTTAATATTTATTAAATATAAGTTATACACATAGACTTTCGTATTTCACAACGATTAAAGATGATGAGGTATCGTTAATAATTACTTATTTATATGGTTTACATATTATATAATATCAATGTATTGATATATAATTTAACGGTTCGTTAAATTAAGAAATAAGAATATTCTTGCTAAACAGACTATTAGTTAATCATTTATCATGTTTATAATATTGTTATTATTCTATATTTTAAAACTAAAATAAGATAATATACATATATATATATATATATCATATATGTATGTGAAATGTTAAACAAACATACCTCATATAATAATGTCTTAGATAACTATAAAGTTACCTGTCATTATGTTGAGAATTATATAATTATACATTTTTGTGATAGACATTGATGGTAGGTGGGGGTAAGGTGTGATATGTACTAGGTATTGATAATACAGTAGGTATAGTATAATATAGTGTTTATATAAATATTATATAATATATAGAAATGCTTTCCTAATATATCAATTGTACGTTTTAAATAGTATTATATTATTTAATTTACTAATTCAGTGGTATATACTAAACATTGATTGTAGTGAAGTATGGTGTAGTATGATGTATATGGTCTCGCACGTACGTGATAGTAGGTGTGTGGATGGACTAGGCTGATTAAGAACTAGTACTTTATAACCTAACCTATATGGAGGGTTATGGTGTGGTATATGTTAGACATTGATGGGAGGGAGGAGTATGGGGTTGGTATGCACTAGGTATCGATGGTAGGGGAAGGGTATGGTATGAGATGATGATGTGTATGGTCACGCACGGTATTGACTCTCATAGACTAGGGAGTAGGAACAGTCTTGACGGAGTAGTCTGGTTTCGTGAGATTTTCATACTTCTGATGTATGCTTAGAAATACGGTATACTGGTATAGTAGATTTAAGTATAATTTTAAAGGTGAGGGTAATAGAGGTGTATTAGCATTTTATTTATTATAATTGATTAATATAATATTATTTATTATTTATGTAACTTTCAATGTATGCATGCTTGGAGGTATGGTACCTATACTAGAATATTCGATTTATTATTTAAGTATAATTTTCAAGGTGTAGGTGATGGAGGTATATTATATGATGACTATATATTTTAGTGATATACATTGATGTGAGGGTATGATGTGATATGTACTAGGTATTGATGGTAGGTAGGGGGAATAGTGTGACACGCATTAGGTATTGATGGATGTGGCAGGGTATGATATGGTATGATGTATATGGTTGTGTACGTACTTGATGACAGGTGTGTGGATAGGATAGGATGATTAGGGGGACTAGACATCATAGTAGGTGTGTGATGAGGTTAATATATAATATATATATATCACTTATGGTGTAGGATCATAGGGATATGTATGGGAGGTGTAGGGTATTGACGGGTATTGCCAGGCATTGTCGAGCATAGTCGAGCACGTATGAGATAGCATAGAACTATAGGTTGGACGAGGTAGTCAGATTCATCGGATTTACTTATGATAGATGGGAGGGGGTGGATCTGGTCGGTTACATACGTGATGTTAGGTGGGATAGATATCCATGTGATAGATGGGAGGAGGGGAGGTGTAGGATATTTTAGTAGTGGTAACATTTTAAGCCATGGATTGGTAAAATATTATCTACTCATTTACCATGTTAAAAGATTAATGCAGATAATATTTTCAATTATTTTAGGATACATTTAAATTGTTGAAATAATAGCTAAGCATTAGATTTTGTATATACTAACTTTCTAAACGTTAAGTTGATGATCTTATACGATTTTAGAAATTTCGAGTGATGGTTATATTATAGTACCTATATTAAAGTATAATATAATAAAGTGTTTGTATGAATATGATATATATATATATATATATATATATATGGATTTGTGATATATTTTAATAGTGGTAACATTTTAAGCCATGGATTGGTAAAATATTATCTACTCATTTACCATGTTAAAAGATTAATTCAGATAATATTTTCAATTATTTTAGGATACATTTAAACTGTTGAAATAATAGCTAAGCAATTAGATTTTGTACATACTAACTTTCTAAAAGCAAAGTTGATGGACTTAGGAAAACTAAAATATTTCACCATAAGTGTGAAGTATACAATGTTTTATGTATATAATAACGACTCGTTAACTATGTGTGAACTGTGTTTTGATAATGTCATATTGGGTAGCGATATGTATATACTATACATTTACACTTTCACTTAGATGTATGGTATTGGGAAATCATTAATAATTTTATGTTTATTATTATAAGTCGCTAACTTATCACAAACTGTGTTCATCTAATGTATGATTAAACAACTAGCTAGGTTGGGGGAGGGGTGGGTATGTATGTGAGAGGTAAAGATGGGAGGGGGAATGTCCGGGCATGGCCGGGCATGGCTGAGAGGGGAGGGGGCACGGCCGAGCACGGTCGTGATAGCATATAACTATAGGCTGGGCGGGGTAGCCGGATTCGCCGGATTTGCGGGGGGTACAGAAGGAACTAAAACACACTACTT